AATAAAAGTTTTTGTTCACATGATATGTGTGTGTATTGTGTATATTTGTAATGTATAAATACATACACATGCATGTATATATTTAAGAAAAATATGCTGTTTATATATTATATACATTATATTTATATATAAATTCTATGAATATAGTCGAACCGCAATTTATTCAGACACATTCAACATTTCTATACTGTATGTTTGTGTATTTATATATACATAATAATAAATATACACATTACACGCACATCTATTATGTAAACAAAAACTTTTATTTTGGATGCGATTAATCGCAATTAATCGTTTGACAGCATTATACTGATAATATATAATTCACCTGATATATATTTAACATTTTTTCTTATACTGAAAACTAAAATCAAGTTAACACAGCCATCACATTTTTTTCCCCTAAGTGGATTTTACATTTTTCATGATTTAATGCAAATTGCGTACATCATTTTGTCATAACACTACACACTAATTTCTCTAATCCAAGGTTCAAGCTTTCAAAACATTAGCACAGACATCTACAGTAAAGCTGTGCTCTCAAATGCTCATGGCATGTTGTCAGATGGCATCATATTGAGTTCTGCAGGGTTTGCAATACACACAGCACAGAAAATGCAATTTACTTCATTATTCACACAACTATCATGACTTTGCTGTGTGTAAAAAGGGTCCTCAGTCAAAAAACAGATATGGGGACCCTGGAGAAGGACTTGCGGAAAGATCAAGAGCAGATGATTTAAGAAAAGGAGAGCTGAGTAAAGCCACAGATGAGATGAGACATACTCAAATTGACCGTATTATTTATCATGATCTCTCACTGAGAGACGCTGCAGTGAGTAACTACTTAATGAACAAATCTACAGTGGTTTAAATGTCAAAGCTAAGGGTGGAAAAAGTAGGAATGTCTCATGTTAGTGTGTTACAATCAAAGTTGATGGACAGCAAGGTTAAGGCTGTTATTTGGAGAACTGTTTGGAGTTAATCAAGAAAGGAAGTGATCTGCTTCGCATTTAAAGTATACATTTTACCCGTCTTTGCATTCCCCATGACCTCGATATTGCTAGTGCCATGCACTAGAGTTTGAGCAATGGGAAGGATCTGGACTACAGTATATATGTTTGAAACCAGAATACAAAACCACTGCTGGAGAAGACAAACATTTGTGTAATTGAACTTTTGACTCAAAACCGCATTGCTGTTAAGATATAGGCACTGTGACAACTAGCCCCACTGTATATATACCTTTCATTAGTTTGGGTTTTTTTATTTTTCCTTCAGATGATACTTTTATTCAGCAAGGATACATTCAATTGATCAAAAGAGACAGTAAAGACATATAGAATGCTACAACTGATTTCTATTTCCAATAAAGATTATCAATAAGTATATCACCTTTTCCACAAAAAAATTAAGCTGCAACAAAAATGTTTCTTCAGCAGAAAATAAGCATATTAGAATGATTCCTGAAGGATCATGTGACACTGAGGACTGGCGCAATGGCTGCTGAAAATTCATCTTTGACATCACAGGAGTACATTACATTTTAAAATATATTCAAATCGAAAACTGATATTTTAGTAGTTTATAATATTTTTACTGTTTTGCTGTATATTTGATCAAATAAATGCAGCCTTGGTGAGCATAGGAGACGTCTTTTAAAAACATTTTTAAAAATTTTACCTAACCACAAACTTTTGAACTTGTTTATATAAATAAAGACTATTTACATAAAAATGACATCTGTGGTGTTGCATACTGAATAAGAAAATATTTTATTTTATAATATATTATGTTTTTTAATAACATTTTATTAAACAAATTGATAATGCAATTGTTATGTATCAAAGGTATTATTTCAAAAATGTTATTTTAACACTAAAGAGTCATTTTAAATCAAAGCACGACTAGAGATGCCTTTCTGCATCACTAAACAAAGAACAAAAATATGGCTTCATTAGGAACAAATAAAGTTATGCTTCCATAACTTTTCAGTATATCTTTTCTTTGTCCGGTAAAAGCTTATTATTTTATTAAACCTTATGTTCTATTTGTTGTCTGGGGATAATTAACAGCTCAACTCATTGATGACTAAGTTTCATTGTTATGACTTTTCCTAATCCTAATCAGAATTGTATAAACACGATTGTAATCTCGTTTATTCATCTGACATCCTCCAATGAAAAATGTTATATACACACACACACAACAACAGATTCTGTGGGACCCCAAACAGTAAGAAATTAATGTCAGTCTCTACTGTTGTAAATGTAGAGATCACGTATGTTCACTGACGCTGGTTTCATGAAGCTCAGCATTAACTCCAACAGAGATGATGATGCTCAGAGACACATTCTCATTACAGCAATAACAGTCCAGTCCTCTTCTCACACACAGCATACTGAACCAACAGTATACTATTTATAGGCTCATTAAAAAGAGAATATCATATCCCTATGATTTTCTGGTTCTTACTTCTACTCTTCTCTTTGTTGCTACTAAAGATGTAAAAGTTTTTTTTTTTTTTTTATAAAACACAATATTATAAAAATTACACAAAATAAGTTAATGCATTAGCTAAAAAGAAACTGGATTATTAGTATGTCAATATGTATTTTAAGTAAAAGGCAGAAGGAGTGCTATGAGAGGCTGAATCAGTAATATCATGATGCATTTATTAAATTCAGCTGTATTAGACTTTTCTGTATTAGAAGTTTCAGACGTGCATAAGTGTGCATAAATAGGTAACACTTTACAGTAAGGTCTTATTAGTTTTGCATTAGTTAATGCATCAACTATAAACTAACAATGAGCAATGCATTTTTTACAGAATGTATTAACCATTAACTGAAATTATTAAATGCTGTGTAAGTATTATTCATTGTTAGCTCATGTTAACTATTGTAGTTAGCTCATGTTAAAAAAAATGGCTTAAAAACAAAATTCACTCAAAAATTGCTAGTAAATTTCACAAATAATTGCAAAGAAATGGCAAGTATTAGTCTGAATTAAACAGTATTTCCTTGTAAAACATACTCCAATTTCTTTTTATTTTCAACTCTGAAGCTGTTTTTTAACTGTGAGTGTGTGTGTGTGTGTGTGTGTGTGTGTTTGTGTGTGTGAG